TTCATTCAGTGGCAAAGAATACACGCCTGGCTGGGATTCGTTTTATTCTTTTTTCTCTGTAATTTAACATTAAGTAGGAATGCATACACGCACACACATACACACACAATTACATTAAGTAGCTGTATAGGTAGGTTAGATAGGCATAATTTTAATTGTAGGTAGGATAGATAGGAAGCATTTAACACTAATGTAGTTGAATAGGTAGGCGCGTAAGTTTATCGCTTCTATTTTTTCTTGCACCCACATTACACGCATCAGCGTATTACACACACACACACACACACACACACAATTGCATACATAAACACATATGTTAGTATTTGAGCGTAATTTTATTTTCATTACACATTCTAATTTATTATTACTAAGGTTGAGAGTAATTTAATTTCATAGGTAGTTAAGAGCAATAATTTAATTCTAGGAACAATCTTGTAATGTAAATTAAAACGCTGTAAGTGTATTGATAGGTAGGTTAATTATAAGTTTTACATTATTATTATTTGGTTGGAGCCCAAGGCATTACGTAGGTGGTGGGGTGGGTGCCGAAAGGCCAATGAATTGGGCTCTTGAGTTTTGTAATTTTAGGTAAGCTATGGCCATAATGTAATGAATAGGTAGGTTAAGGCTACGTTGTAACACATACTCATTAATAGATTTAGGGTTTAAGTTTTATATTATTATTACTAAGTTGGAGCCCAAGGCATTACGTAGGTGGTGGGGTGGGTGCCGAAAGGCCAATGAATTGGGCTCTTGAGTTTTGTAATTTTAGGTAAGCTAGGGCTTAATTGTAATGAATAGGTAAGTTGAGGGTACGATAGCCGATAGACTCTGAATTTCGAAGTCTCTTGTCAGAGGTAAGCCTTGGTGGCCAGTGGTGAACCGGCAATGGTTTACTATCCGGACGGCAATGGTTTACTATCTGCACGGTAATGATTTACTATGCGGCACGGCCATAGTCTACTACCCGCACGGCTTCCGGACGGCAAATGGTTTACTATCCGCACGGCAATAGTCTACTATCCGCACGGCAATGGTTTACTATCCGGTGCCCTGGCTGTCGGTGAACCTCTGTGCAAGGAGGGAAAATGAAGGGGGACTTTCGACTATCGTACCATTAACAATTTAATATAGATTAGTTAAGGTAATTGAATAGGTAGATAGGATTATTTTTATTAAGCAATTTGAGATGCAAGCACCGCTAAGCTTTCTGATGAGAATATTCTCTTTATCTTTCTCCATCCCACGGGCTGTGTTTCAACAACAATCTCGAGGAGGACTGGCACCAGTTTTGGAGGACAACGTAGGCACCGAAAGGCATTCATCATTCTGCCTTTGTCGAATGGACGACGGTAAGTTTTTTTTTACATTTTACTCTCTTTATTATTTTAAGATATTATTTATTTGCCATTATTTTAACTTTATACTTTTTCGCTTCTAAAATTCTAACATTCATTTACTACTACGCTAATAAAAAAAATTGTCTACAGGATGATGAGAGGTGGGCAGTGGTGGGAGTCAGCACGTTTCAGATGGTGGTCTCATGATGATTTACGTATGATGATGGTGGTGTAGGAAGAATCAGCGCGTTGGCTGTTCGACTGACACTCAGAAGTTCGGATGAAATCATGTGTGCCGACCTAAATGTGGTGGTAGGTGCAATGGATTACAGTAACGACGATTTTTGAAATAAGGTTTAGTTTAATTTTTTTTCATTTTTCTCATTCATTAATTTTTTCACTCAATCTTTCAAATTATTTTTCCATTATTTGACGTTAATTCATTCCATTCATTCATTTAACTAATTATTTATTCATTCAGTTAATCATTTATTCGTTCGTTCATTTGTTCCTTGATTTAATACTACGCTAATAAAAAAAACTTGTCTACAGAACGATGAGAGGTGGGCAGTGGTGGGAGTCAGCACGTTTCAGATGGTGGTCTCATGATGATTTACGTATGATGATGGTGGTGTAGGAAGAATCAGCGCGTTGGTTGTTCGACTGACACTCAGAAGTTCGGATGAAATCATGTGTGCCGACCTAAATGTGGTGGTCGGTACAATGGATTACAGTAACGACGATTTTTGAAATAAGGTTTAGTTTAATTTTTTTCATTTTTCTCATTCATTAATTTTTTCACTCAATCTTTCAAATTATTTTTCCATTATTTGACGTTAATTCATTCCATTCATTCATTTAACTAATTATTTATTCATTCAGTTAATCATTTATTCGTTCGTTCATTTGTTCCTTGATTTAATACTACGCTAATAAAAAAAACTTGTCTACAGAAAGATGAGAGGTGGGCTGTGGTGAGCGTCAGCACGTTTCAGATGGTGGTCTCATGATGAAGTTTCTGGAGGTTTCTGGAGAGTACACGCGCGCACATTCACACACACACATTAATACAACACACACATACACAACATCCATTCATTCGGTGTCGTTGTTGTTATGTTTCTCTTCAACTTTCCATTTTCTTTACCGGACTTAATTTAATTCATAGGTAAGTTAGGGATTGAGATGAGTTGAACAATCGTAGGTAGGCTAGGGCTTAACATTAGTTAAAAAGTTTCAAGTAAAATAAAAACGCTGAAATATGTAAAATAAAATACCTGAAACATGTAAAATTCCAAAAACGTAGAAATTCATATTTGTAGGTAGGTGAGTTGAGTTAATGCTTATAAGCTAGGGCCCTGAGAGTAATTTAATTGTAGGTAGGTGACTGACTACTATTCTTGCGACTTCTTACTAATTTTTTGTGATGTGTTTGTTTGTTTTCGCTTCACAGCACCACACCAACAAAACAAACTACATTTTATTCTCGTCGTCGCCTTAAATTTTACCTCTTTGAACAATCTTTTTAATAATGTCTATTTATTTATTAAATGTTGACTGGTTTCTAGTTTTTTTAATTTGGTTATTCAATTTTTGGATATTTCTTGATTTAATAAAAGCAACTATTGTGTTTTTCTTTCTTTACTAAAATCTCGAAATTGTTTGTAGATTCGTACAGTTAAGTGTTTGTTCGAGTTTGAACAAGCCTTGCAAATATTTTTCAAATATGGTTCATTGATTGGTCGATTGGTTGGTTGATTAGTTCATTGAATGAATGGTTGGTTAGTTGGTTGGATGGTTGATTGATTGATTGATTGATTGGTTGATTGATTGATTGATCTCATAGTATTGTATATATGAAAAAAATCCGATTAAGCTAAAATACGGCTTTACTTGGCCACTGTTTTTCACCAGATAAAAGCAATTTCTTTATTTATATTGACGAAAAATAATTGTGAAATGAATATATTAATTTATTTAAAGCATTATATGTACAGAAAACCGCCATGACAGTTGTTTGAGATTCAGTAAGCCACTGCAGTAAGCCAACGTATGATTTCAGCATCCAATTTCTCTGAGCAACAGCAGAATGTAAAATATTCATAGAATATAATGAAGCTAGTTGTTCAAATAACAATTTTGATTTATTTAGGCCGTTTATTTCATAAGCAAACAAATTTTTAACATGATCGAATAATGTAAAAAAAGGTGACTATAGCTCAATCCTACTAAGTAAGCCACCGGATTTCACAGGACCAAAAGCAATTTTTATATTTAAATTAACAGCAATAACTTAATAATACATAATTTTATTTAATAAAATCATAACTTTAGGCAATAAAATTAAATAGAATTAACACGATGTTTTAAGCATATTAAGTAACTATTTCATATAGCTTCATCTTTAAAATCCATGCAATTTCGTAAGCTAATAATCCAAGCATGTCAAATAGTTCTATTATTCTAGTTATGTGTATTTGAATATATTAAAAAACAAAGAACAATAAATGTTTGATTTGATATAAATTTTTAATTTACGTTGGTTTACGTTTGACTTGCGCGAGATTTGATTTTTTAAAATGAAATGTTCGAGAATTATTTGCGTCAAATTCGAGCTGTTCAATATTTTTATGTTTTTTTTTCTTGAAAATAAATTAGATTTGTTTGATTTTATGCGTTAAGAAACATTTAAAATGCTTGTCGCTTTACCGAAAATTATTCCGAAAGTTTTCAAAAAGAAAAGAGCGGACCCAAAATCCGGCAGCTGTCCGGTGGAGGATGTGCTAAACAACACTTGCAGGGTCATCAGAAGTGTTGAGGTTTTAATAAAAAAGATTATAAACGCACGCTGAGCAACCATTTTTAACGACATATATATATATATATATATATATATATATATATATATATATATATAAATAAATATATATATATATATAGAGAGAGAGAGAGAATAAAATAGGGTTCTTATTATCTTATAGTTTTGAAAGTTGTTCATTTATGTGTTTGAATTTTTCTTCAAATAATTTATGAAATTTTAAATAACGTTGAGGTATTAATTTGGGCGTTGTGATGGCCCAGTGACTCAGGTCACCTGGTGTTGTTTCGCCGTGCGTGCAGTTCAATGGGGTTGTTAAAGAAATTTTTCACAGAGCGCTGATTTTATAATTACAATAATCTTTTCAATACAACAATCTTATACTGAAAATTACATTAGACTTGTGATTATGGTTCTGGGTGGAAATAATAGTTGAAAGTAAATTAAAAAATGTGAGAACTGTTTTTGTTCTACGTTAAAGTTTCAGACTAAAACTTGGTTAAAAATAGTTGTAATGTTTTTGAGAGTTAATCCTAGTCTTAATAATTATGATCTTAGTAATTATGACGTTAGTGTCGGTACTACTAATAACAGCAACAACAAAATTTTATTTTACTTTTTGAGAGCAAAAAGTAAAATAAAATTTAAATATATTAAAATAAGATAAAGTGTTTCAATAATATTAATTCAAAAAAATTTCATCAAGATGAGTCACGAATTTTCAATTTGCCATTTCTCTTTGATTGAATGTTGTTTCAAATCCCACACCATTGTCTCGTAATTAATTTTTTTAATTAATTTTTGTTAGAAAAATAAACTAGCCAACTAACCAACCAATCAAATCAAATCGTAGCTTTGATATACATCTTGCTTATTTTAACCTGAACGGAAGAATCGTTCACTTTTGAGTAATATACGAAGTATGAATTATAAGCATTCAGATTTGAAGATTGACAGTAAGTGGCGTAGTACCACCAGCCCCCTCCGTAAGTATTGTAACAGTTTGTAGATCCTCCGCTGTTGTAGTTATCGTAAGTGGAAAATTTCTGATTGTTGTGGCACATCCCTAGCTTGGGAGAGTAATTGAACACGTCAGCGTTGGATCCCATCCAACCTGATACGTGGATGGCATATTTTTCTGTCTCATTCTTCAAGGAGAAAGTTGAGTATTGGTCCATTAAGAAGAGACTGTTTGTTGGTTTGTTGTTGAAATATATATAGGTTTACAAAAAATTATTAAGCCACAGTTGAAAAATAGAAGAGTCTTTTTAAAATCTCCTGAATTTTATGGCAAACAAAGAAAAAATTTTTAAATTACAAACACAAACGTCTCACTTTTTTCAATCCATTTTAATCTTGTTTCAGAATTATTTATCTCCCAGTAAACAAAACCCTCACCACTAACCCATTGTTGAGAAGAACTTCCAACTTCAACATGTGCGGCCTGGCACTAACGAGCTGGTAAACAGCTTCCAGTCCCAACCAGTAAAAAGATGGGGGAGACCCAAAACCGTTTCTATAATTGAGCCATGGATAGTTCATGTGATAGGGATTGGTGTGCTGCTGGATGAGTGTCCACGTGTCGATGTTAATCAGGTTGGTGGTGCCCTGAATGTTTGGCAGTGTGACTGGCACTGTCACCGTTCCCATGAGGTTTTCTGAGTTGGTTTATGAAATTTATTTGCGATAAAATTTCTGAATGCTAAATTTTGTCACTTGCTAAATTTTATCAACCAGGCGTTTACAATGATAATTGAAGGAAGACTCACTCAGTGGCACGCACTCTGATTTGTTATGGAGCGTCTTGAAGAGAAAATAATGATAACAATTGATATTAACTTAATTTTGTAACATTTTCTTCATCACATAATAATTCAAATTATATTGAAATATTATTATTATTATAATTTGAGATATTTTTATTATTGTCATTACTATAAACATCAACACAGCACCCATCATCATCATCGTTATCATCGCCATCATCTACAGCTTCATTATCTTTGTCTTAAACATTATCAACATTTTTAAACCTGTTGACTTGATCAACATTATCACCATAATCAGAATCGATTTTGTCATCAGCGTTATCATCGTTCCTACCATGTACACAATCATCACCATCATCATTGCAACCTTATAGTAGGAACAATTTGTAGACTTTTCATAGAACTCTGGACTGTTTCTGAAGACAAACTGGCACCCACAATTTGACGATGATGATGATGACGATGATGCGTTTGTCGACGTTGGCAATGATGATGGAGATGACGACGACAACAAAGAGGACTGGATTATAGAAAATAAGGTGAACAGCGATGATGATGTGGAAGAAGATGAAAACAGGGTGGATATCAATGATGAGAGAGAAGAGTTGGATGATGACGTAGGTGATGACGTAGATGATGGATGTGTTGAGTTTTTAGCAATCGGCAGACCTGTACGTGTACAAGTAGTAGAATAAACTACAATAACAATAATTTCGAAAATTTCTTCAATAAAATTTCTGACTATTTTAAATCAAGAAACAGCAAAAAAAAACAATAACTCGACTAAAATCAACAACACGACCAAGATAACACTAACAGGTAACAAGGATAATAAATACCAGGGTGTCGAAGTCTAGAACTGCCAGCTGCCACCGTTAGTCGCAGCAGCCGAATTTTTGGCTGTTAACCGTCAGCCGCTGAATAATTTTTCGACTAGCTGAACTAGCTGCCAAACACGGTAATTTGAGACTTGTAAGACGCTCAATTGTAGCAAAAAATATATTTTCAACGAATTGTTACTAATTTTTTTAAAGTGAAAAGTTTTATTTATATAGAATACAAAACATTAGAAGCTTCAACAAATTTATTATATCAGTTGCATCAATGTTTCCTAGTGCATTTCTTATCTGCAATGGCAAAAGCCTCCTCAATGACACGAAACAATGTAGAGAAAAAATTTTCGTACATGAAAATTTTGTTCTTGTCACGAATGCACTGCATTTTAATGAGTGGTTAGTATTTTAATCAAGTATTTTGATTGCCCGCCGTTAGCCGAAGAAAAGCCACCGCCAAATGAAACTCGGCTAACCAAATTTTCAGTCAAAATTCTTTGCCAGGCAGTTTAAACTTCTGAAATTATTTGGCTGACGAGTCAATTGGAGTCGGATGAAAAATATCCAACTTAGACTCCGGTTCCTCAAAACATTCCGACTACGGCAAAAATCTCCAACTTCGACTCTATGATAAATACATTAACACTAACATCAACCAGCTCCTGACAAAGATGATGCAAATAACAATGCGATCACGAGCTGTCAGACTTCTCACAAATTGCACTGTGAACATTTCTCAGCGCGAAATTGCTCAACCAAAAATGGCTAATCAGATGTAACGATTATATACATATAATTTTAATATTTGGAATAAAGCGTTTTCATAATTTATTAAACGAATTTGATTCTAGTTCTATAATTTTGTTATCAATTTATCAGATTAGCTTATATGAAACACCATTAAAGAACATGACTCAGAAAATTGTAAATACTGGATAAATACCAAGTAGAGTTTTTTGGTTAGCACTAAGTCTCTATTATAACCTATAGTTTGCTTCAAATTTGGATAAGTTAGATTATCTTTGTTAGAAAACTTACAAATCCGGTGCTTTGTTATCCAGCAATAAATGTGTGGTTTATTATCTGATGACAGGCACCACGCTGATTATAATAATTAGCCTGTTAAATAAATAAACCTAAGCTATATGAGTTAGTGAAAAAAAGGAATAAACATATTCTCAAATAAATAATAAAAAATAATAAATAATTGAATAATCAATAATTGTCAAGCATTCCATTGCCTCCTATTGCCTAAAACAGGTCCTGATGGCATAATAACTACTACAGTGCTGGCAATTTGCGCAGCAACAAACGAAATATCATTCACAACAATTGCGACAATAATAGCAGTATCAATAAAACACCAACAATTGAAACAACAGCACCAAATGAAAAAACACCAAAGTCTACCACAACGCTAGCACACCTTCCGTGTAAATGTTGAATCCAACGCACGAGTCATCCAATCCACATAGCCAGGAGCATTTGACTGGTAAAAGGTTTTTGTCTGCAGATGGTCCTTTGTTGGAGATTGTGAATGTTTATTGTAAATGTTGGGAGGTTTTTTGGTCAAACAAACGCGTGTTGTAGTGTGTATTATATTGTAATGAAACAATGCTTTGACAATTTTACCCTTCAATTCATTTTTTTAATTACAAATATTGGAAATTGTTATTATTAAGGCATTTTTTAAACTATATTTTATTAAAATATTAAAGTTAGCTATTAAATTTTTGCTTCTAGCCATTTTTTGTTTGTTTAGCAACTTTTTGTCCAAGCATTCTTTTTTATAAAAATGTTATTTTTAAATGTAACCACCAAGTCAGTTGAATGTTAAATTAGTGCTAACTATCGGGACTCCTACGATGAAATGTTACATGATCAATATCATTTGAATGTTGCAAAAAATAACACCAGATGTAACTATGGATGCAACTACCATTGTTTGTTTTAAATTGATTCAATAACTGAATCAACAAAACAACATCAAAATCAACAACAACCGTAACTTCATCGACGACAACAACCACAACATCAACGACAACAACCACAAAATCGACAACCACAGCAACAACCCCAACATCAACAACATACCTGCGCTAAGAATGTCGTTGATATCCGATGCAGTAACGGTAAAGACGTTAATGTTGTTTGTGCTGTTGTTGTTTGTGTTGTTGTCAACAAGTGCACATACTCTTGTTCCGTCTAGACAGAACTTGTATGGACTGAAACATCTTGGTGTTGTAGTTGTTGCATCATCTGAAAATGATTTATTTGCTTCAGTTGTCGGTATGGCTGTACCAACTACTGATGTAAGTGCAACAGTTGTCAAAGAATTAGCTACTGCCGTTTCCACTGCAATTGTTTTTGTATTTGTTGCATCTTTTGTTGTATCTGTAGCAACAGTTGTTATGACTACCACAGCCGCTGTTGTATCTACCGCAATTGTTTTTGTATCTTCAGCAATTGTTGATGTATTTGTCGCAGCCGTTGTTGTAGCCACCTCAGCTGTTGCCTCATTTGCCGCAACTGTTGCTGCGTTTGCTGAAGTCGTTGTTGAATCGCCTGTTATCTCCGCTATAGTTTTTGTGGTGGTCCCAGTTTTCAATTCTGTTGCAGTTATTGATACATCTGCGGCGACCACTGGTATTTTAACAGCTAATTCAGCAGAGGTTACTTGTGATAATGTGGATGGTGTGTTGAAAAGAAGGAAGAAGATGACGATGGCGATGAAAGTCATCGCGTTCAGAGGTGGGGGAATCAAAATTTTTCGATATTGAATTTTGAGTTGGCTGTTGATGACGAGGATGATGACGAGGATAAGGATGAGTTTTGTAATAATTCCGTTGATTTTTATAACTTGGAAATTTTACAAACTCCGATAAAGCGGATTACAAGAACCCTTTAATCGAAACATTTTTTGTCTGTTCAGCCGTCCGTCAACCAACAACAACATCGTTGCCTTTATACATTTTTGCGTCGCCGCAAATTAATATTGTTGCATTTTTTCGACAGACCGTGCTATCAATAATTTTAATTATTTCTAATGAATGTGTTGTTATTATTATTGTTGCTGTTGTTTCTATTGTATTTTTGGTTGTTAATTCTGGTTGAGTTGATATTGTTGAGTTAATGTAGTAATGTTAATGACGTCCATGACAACAACAATACAAAAATTGTATTTTTCATTTTGTATAAAGTTCAGTGCTATTAATATCTTTATACAATATTTGTGTGCGTGTGTGTGTGTGCACAGTAGAGCCTGTCGTACATAACGAAGCGTGAAGCCATTTTTTAAGATACGGTAAAACAGTGGTACTAAGCGAAGCATGTAATGATGACGATGATGTGATGATGACGACGACAACGATGATTCTGGTGTCGATGGTGTTGCTAGCAGCAATGATGATGCGGATGATAATAATGATAATAAAGACGATCTTTTGAAAAATTATAGCCAGAATTGTTTGCGAACTGCAAGGGAATGGATACCACTATTATTTCAAGTTTTCTTAGACAATCTGATCTCTTTATACAGACAGTTGGACAAAAACTACCACAGCTCCTGCATCACTGACATTTAGAAAAACTATCAATAATATTTGTGCTATAATGAAGTACTATGGTTCAAACATTGTGTTTGTTCTGAGCTCCGAATCTATAAAACTACCACTTTCATGACTTATCAGTTTCAGACAACATGTAGTTAATAATGTGTCTTAAAACATCCTCATTGGAGGTATGAGAGGTCTAACTAATTTTCATAATTCTTCTCAAAACCACATTTCAGCAGCATTACTCCTTTTTTCTATTTTTTTTAGAAATCGTCCAGGAATCAGAGCCGTCGTAAGTGAGCACAGAAAAATGTAAAACCCTAACAGTTTTGATTTTGTTGATATTCTGATTTTATTGCTGGTGAGAATGTTTTTCATTTTAGAATATGCACTTTTCGCTATAGCTATCTTTCGTTTGATATCTACATCACATTTACGACCTAAGATAATCAGACTTCCGAGATAACTGATGCAGTTGACTCGTTTCAACTGTTTATCATTAATGATTATGGAGCAGATCGGTGCGGTTTTGCTTTTACTGATAACCATGCACCTGTTTTGTTAACGTTAATTTGCAAGCCTTTCCTTTCACTTTCAAAAACCAGTTTGAAAACAATTGTTTGCAGTTTTTCCATAGAATTCGCTATAAGAGTTGTATCATCAGCATATCTTGCATTGCTAATATTCACGCTTTCAATGGATATTCTAGGTAGATCTATCTTTTTTATGAAGATCTCACCATAGAGATTGTACAAGCTTGGAAAGAATACACAGCCTTGCCTGACACCTTTCTTTATTTCGACAAAGCTTTGGACAAATTTCCTAAAGCAAATCTCTCAAAATCATTCTTGTAATGATTTGGGCTAAACATAGAATTAACTTCTAGATACCTTACAAACTTGGATAACACTTTTATTTTATAAGAGTAAAATAGTTTTACTAAAACTGCTGCTACATACAATACAACATACTAAGAATATGAAAATATTTTTCGCGTTAATACATTATAAATAATAAAAGTTAATCATCAGCTGTTCAGTAATTTTATTTTTGGTAATTTTATGCAGGAAGATCTGACATCATGGGTGAGGTCAACTCCGAGTGGACACCTGTCGAATAGAAAATAAATTATTTATCAATCAACACGTACATAAATTAATCAGTTAGTCCATCGATTAATCCATCTCTCTTATACATGATACATTTTTTACACACTTCATTAAAAAGTAACACCTCCACACATATAATGGATGTTTGCTCGCTGGTGTGGTAGCTCATGCAACATCTATCACTTTGGCCATTCTCACGATAGGAAGTGTCGAAAATAATTAAACCGGCTTCAACAGGCAAACAAATTAAATGAATCAACAGCAATCGAAAAGAACAAATAAACAAATGAATTAAAATGTTACGGAGACCAGAGGCGTAAAGAGAGTCTATCAAAGGTTAAAAAAGGTTATCAGAGATCAAACGCCGTACAACTGAAGAAGAATTAAAATGAAACGTAAGAAAACAAACTTTGGTTGAACTTGGAAACATGAGGCATCATCGTACATTCTCCTGTTGGCTCTCAACAACTCCACTCCATTCCTACACGACGAAAATAATTTCAAACTAATGAACTGAATTAATGACTGAATTGATGGGAGGATGAACATTCATTATAATTAATTAATTAATTAATTGAACAACAACATCAACATGAACAAATTGTATAACAATATTTTTATTGTTATTATAAACCGTAATTATTATTACGATATTTTGAAACAAAAACGAAAAACAGAGATGATGATTGAATAAACAATAAAACCACGGACAACAATAAACAATTATTAAAACAGTTATAAAGATTTAGTAATATTGGAAATTTAAAAAAAAAAGAAAAACAATAAAAAATAGATAAGAACTAACTAACCATGCAACCATGATTCCATTATCAGTGCATAATTTTGGGGGAGGAGTCAAAACATGACAATCATAATGTTGACACAATTGTGACATCATGAGACGAGCACACTGGTTGCTGGCCACACCTCCTGATATCACCTGATATCATTTTAAATGAATAATTTAACATCTTTTAAATTTCAACCAGCCAGCCTTCTAGCCAACAAACCAACCAAACGACAAACCCATCAACCAACCAAATTATTGACACTTTCCCCAAGTAGGCCTTTCATCCCACAGAACAACAGCCCCCTCTGCACCCTTCTACAAATGTGGTGGAACACCATGTACTGAAAAGTAGCACAGAAGTCTGCCAGATTCGATATGTGACCTTCACCTTCTGACAAGCCTGACTGGGTTGGCAGCGGTCAATGTAGATAATATAAACTAGAAAAAATATATAGAACACATGAACCTCATAAATAGTAACACAAACAAAAATCAGCACCAAATAGCATAGACACCAATAAACAATAACGCAGAGAACAACAAAAGTAACAACAACCAACATAAAAACAACCAACAGAGCAACACACCCTGTTCAAGCTCCTCCTCTTCAATCGTCCTCATCGCCCAAGACTTCAGTCCAGAGAAACTGAAGTTGCAATCAGCCAGCCTGGTCATGATGGGGAAGAGGGGGTAACGAAAAGGATTGCCTCCTGAAGCCACCACTTCAATGGACTGACCCCCACTCAGGTTGGTGCACTGGGGGAGGTCTTTCAGGCGCAATCGTCTGGCAACCTTTCGAATGGTTCATCATTTGAAAGTTATAAGTTACAAAGTTTTTCACCAGATTTGTAGATATTTGAATATATACAAATTAATTATTCAATCAAACATTAATTAATTGATCACTTTTGTAATTAACCATAATTTTAACATTTCACCATGTTCATTCATCCGACAGGAAACAGGAACCCCCTTCAACCTTATCGAAGACTTCCCCAGGTGCATCATCAATTCCCCTGCCCAGCAGAACAAAATCATCGACCCCTCGTACGACACTCAACAAACTGTGCCCGCCACTTATCAACAGCACCAGGTAGGGAAATGAGATGCTGAACGGTGGAGGTGGGTTGGGATGTGAGCACCTCAAATTGATAATTTTAACTTCAAGCAGCAAACAAAAACAAACAAACATACAACCACGCAAACAAACAAACATACATAAAACCACGCAAACAAACAAAAAAACAAAAGGACAAATGACAAACACACTCACGCCACAAACAACACACACACACACACATACACACACACACACACACTCACATAACAACATACCTGTTGATGAATCTGATGGTGAGAGCGTGTGCTTCCATGTGGTGGATGGGTATAAATTGTTTCCTTCTATTAAGATTAGGGAGTGGGTGGAAAAAAGGTTGAATTGATTTAGTTGTATTATTGATTTTAATAATTTAAGAATTATATAAAAAAAACCATACTTAAAGCACGCGAACAAAAATTTATCAACGGTCTTATGTAGAATGAGTGAATAAAAACAAACTGATGTGATATTATTATTATTAAAAACAACATCAACACCAGCAATAACACCATCTTAACAGTGGCAGCAACATCATCATTGCCATAACAACAACAACAAAACCACCATGACGTAACATCAAAAAGAACCTGTGTTGTCGTTGTAGTATATTCTTAGTGTACTGCAGGCCAACTGATAGGCAAGAGGCCAATCCTGGCTTTATTGTTGTTGCAACCACATCTATATCCTGCAAATAAATAAATAAAAATAAAGAGTCAAAAAAATTTGCTATTTAAGCACATATTTGGCCCTTCAAAGGTAAAATAGTTCACAACGCGGCCCTCACAGCAAAATGTTTGCTCTAGTGAAATTATTTCGGCAACGCAACCGCGCATCAGTAAAGACAGCCAGTTCCTTACTTACAGAATTCTGTTCTCAGTGAGTTTTTTTTCTGTCCATCTAACGTTAAGGTCACATGCCCCATAATAATAATCACGTAAACTTATACAAATTAATAAAATGGTAAGACTAGTCAATAGTCATTATCGCTCGTCCTTTTAAAATGAGCACAATGATGATAGAGTATTATAAAAACATAAGCATATAATAATAAAAAAATCATAACAACAATAATAATAAAGTTAAGAACAAAATTATTCACAAATATCTAAAATTTTGGGCAGTGCGTTATTTCAAACATGTATGTTTGTTAAAAAATTATATAAAGAAAGAGTGAAATGAATGAACGAATGAACAAATAAATAAATAAAGTGAATGAATGATCAAACAAATGAATCAAACAATGAATACAGCAAACAAATAAATAAATAATTAATAATTGATAAATTGAATTAATGAATGAATAAATAAATGAATAAAAATACAACGACATAACACACATTTAGAGAGAGGTTAGCTTGTGAGAGTGCTTCATCAACGACTCCGTCTATATTATCTCTATGAAGATTCCTTGCAACTGGAGGTACTATGCCTCCTGCCCTGTTGGAGTATTTTACTATTACATTCGTTAACATATTACAAATTAATGAAAAATAGTTATTAATTAACAAACAATTGATTTATTAATTATTGAAAAATTGTTGTAATAATAATATTAATTATGTTTTAATCAATTCTCAGAGGTGTCAATAACATACACACAGCAAAAGTGAATAAGTATGATTATATGTGATAGGCCGAGATTCTTTTGCAGTCGAACCCAGCCAATGCAGCAGTAGAAACATCACACCACCTCATTGTCCAAAATTATTTTTCTGTTCATCAAATCATTAAGATGTTCATATATCATAATTTAATAATTCCAACCAATACTCAACACAAAGCCGCATACTTTGCTTAATTATTAAATTGTTTATAAGTAAATTATTAAATTGTTTATTTCATTAAATTAAACCATTTGAATGTTTTTAAGTTTAAGCATATTTCATTCATTTCATATTAATTTGTACATGTTATTTTATTTGTACATCATGTGCCAGAAATTGATTGCAATCCTGAAGTTGGAAATAGGGCAAAAAATAGATGCAGTAGATAGATGCAGTGGATAGATGATTCAAAACTCAGGGCGAAATGCCTGCAACTTTTAGAACAGTCTGTGTCTACTATTAAGTACATCAGAACCAGTTTATAAAAGCAGGATCAATGACAGTAAAACAGAAACGTTCTTTGACTTTGATGATGAATTATCCACAGAACAATCGCAACAACATTTTCAGTATCTTAATGATAAAGATAAAGATTTAAAAATGTTAGACAAACATTTAAAAATTAAACAACTTTTCATTAGATATAACACAGCATTGCCTTCAAGTGCCCCAGTTGATTTAGTTTAGGTGCTCTTATTTTAACTGAACAGCGTAATCGTTTATCTGATGATCTGTTTGAGACATTACTGCTCCTTAAAGTTAACCAACATTATTGGTGAATTTTAAGTATTAATGTTTTTTTCATTTCTAATGGAAACATTTATGAGATTTACTAAAATGTGATGTGGGTGTATATAAAATAATAAAAATAAATTTTGTTAATTCGTGATCCTTTTTTATTAACGTGCAAATTTGATTATCAAATGAAAACTGCATGGAATTTAAAATAATTTTTAAATACTTACAGCCAGTATTTAAATACTTGTAGCAGTATTTGGTATTTAAATACTATTTAAATACTGAATTTTGACCAAGTATTTGCAAAATATTTAAATACTCAACATGTGAGTATTTTATTTAGTTAAGAAAATATATAAGTGTGCTGTTATTTGTTTTTCTATTATAGAAATTTTCAATTGCATCATAAATTATGTCGTAAAATCATTTAATTATAAAGAAATAATTAATAAAAACTAAAAAGCTATTTTACAAAATTGTAATTTATTTCATGATAAAAATTTTTAAGTCTAACTTCACTTTTAAGGCTTTACATCTTTTCATCATTGTCTATTTAATTTCTATGCATGTAATTTTTTTATTGTAATAAAAATAAATATGTAAAAGATAGATCAATAAGTGATAATAAAAAGTGAGTGAAGCTTAACATAATGGGTGGTAAGGTATTCTTCATGATTACCAAAGAAACCATTATCCATTTCTAAAAAGTCAAACCATTCTTTACTAACTGAACATGAATATTAGTTTGTGAATTGATGGCTTCTCCCAACAAGGACCCATCTTCACTTACGATGGCCGCTCCGGTGTCATCACAGCTTGTTTCGATGCCTAACACAATTCTCCGGTAAAATTTCTTACGCACAACTAATGGAAAAACTTCAAATTTTTTATTTAATGTGAATACGTCAAATTTGAAAGTGATGTTTCTTAAATTAAACATATTAAAAGTTCTAAGATTTAATGTTTAAGCAAGACAGTTTGTAATATCTCTAACAAAGAAAAATCACAATTCAACATTGTGTTGAAATAAAAAAGTTTTAGCGACTTATTAAATAAATAATTTATTAAAAAAATCGTGTTATGAAAAATGTTGTCCAAATAAAAAGTTAGTTTAAAAAAGACATTTTATAACCAATTCAGCACCTTTTGAAATATTTTTTAAGTAAATTGTAAAAAATTTGCTTTCGTTTCTCAAATTTTGGACAATTTTTCCAAAATTTGGAAAGGTGGCTAAGTTTCTTATCTTGTGTAAAATAGAATGGAGATCTCGAAGTTGGGTCCGTCTTATTAAAAAAAAATTAATTATTATTACATTTACTATATTAGAAAAACAATTACCATTAAACAAAGTTATCTGTTAACACTTTAACAGTTAATGTTAAATAAATTCACGTTTGTTTGATCAACCAAATTTTTTATTTTATTCTTGATTCCAAATTGTATCAATTGGATTTGGCAAATGATTGATTTACACATTTTGATCGATTTTTTATTTCATTTTGATTTTGTTTGACTATACAAAAACTGGGCGTCAATTAATTTTATTGATTAATATTTAAATTTGAAGATTTGGAAAGAAGATGAAGGTCCTTAAGTGAGAACTATTATTATATTTTTATTAATTAATTTATTTTATAATAATTATATTGTAAAAATAAAATAAATTTAGATATAACTTGAAATTCCTTAAAAAAAGGTTAATGATCATCCACTACTGACTTTTGTAGATTAACAGATGATATGATCAACCATTAGTACTATAATTATTATAATTATATATTATAATTAAATAATTTTATAGTAATAATAATAAATAATAAAATATATAATATATATGTAAATATATATATAAATTAATATTAATGTATCTGTAGTATATTATTTTACTATTAAAACCCTTAATACTATAATATAGTCAACCACTGATACTTCAACTGACAAATGATACAACCACAATGTATAGTATAGAATATATGGATATTAAAAAATTATATGGTGTTTCATCAAACAAATATTTTTTTGCTTCAAACTTACTTTTTTTTATAATATAAAAATTTAATTTTATGGCATGTCTTTGCCGATTCCATTTTAAAATTTGTTTCATTTTATTTATTTTAAATGTTTCAATTCTTAAAATTAATAGATTTAAATGTATTTGCATCATAGCGATCTGTCACAGACTTAGTAATTTGTAATTGAATGAACTATGGATGCCTCTAATAAAAGCAAAAAAGTAGGCGGCACTCAGGGGAACCAACTGAATAATAATAATATCCTTAGTACCTTTCATCATCATGATTCACCTGCAAGATTTACATCAACATCTACAGTTGCCAACATTAAAATGTTGCCAATAATTTCAACAAACATTCCTCAACAAAACGTCCCACTGTTGACTAGCAACAGCAACAACTACAGCAGCAACAACATTTGCAACATCAACAAAAACGTCACTCCAACAATAATTTTACAACCTCAAGTGATGTCCATGGAGAAGGGTAAAGAAGCAGTCAACACGCCATACCTGTTGTGCTTCATTCAACAACAGCCCAACAACAACAACAATGTTGCAGGTAGCTTCCAACAATTCAAACTTCTTCCTCAACAGCAGCAGCATCAGGGATCGTTGTTGAAGTGTCAGGACTTTCAGAGTTTGAATCAAAAGTTGTTGCTCGTGGATAACTCAACTGCCTTGTTCCAACCCATATTAGTGCAACCACCACCACAACATAAGTTGCTACAGCAACAGCAACATAAACTACTACAACAGCCAGAGCAACATAAGTTACTTCAACAGCCACACCAACCACCTCAAAATTTATTACAACATAAGAAACAACAACTACCACAACACATTAGTCATTTATTAAATCCAAATGTAAATCTGCAGTCATCTTTTACAGGAAACACTCTTAAACATATCAATTCAACATCACTAACTTCAATAACACAGAACCTACAACAGCAACAACATCAGCATCAGCAATTTCCAGAACGTGGTGAAAATACAAAACCAAGAAAACATCAGATCAAATCCTCCACAAGGCAGCAAAGAAAAGGAAGTTTGTTGAAATTAAAATCAACATCATCAACAACAACAACGTCATCATTGACACATTCAAGTGCTTTTTCAATGCCAGCACATCACCATATGTTAGTGACATCATCGACAACATCAGCAACAACAACACCAACAACAACACCATCTCTTCTGGACATCATAAAAAGAATTTCAGCTCAGAGGCAATTAGCCTCATCATTATCCTCATTAAAGTCATCATCATCATTAACATCGAAATCATCATCAACAACGTCAACATCATCACTAGCATCAATATCATTATCGAGCAAAACATTGATGGTAACAACAAAGACATCAACAACACCAACTGCAACAACAGCAACAACAACCAACCCACCACAAATTGTTAAGAAGTGTCCAGCTAATTCTACATTGATGTTGGCCAACGATGAACACAGAGCTGATAACATCAACATTCAATATAACATTAAAAATGCTGACATTAAAGACAAGAAGACTGGCAACATCATCAACAGTAGCTTAAAAGCTAACAAGATCAACAACGACATCATTAGCAACAACAACAGCAACATCAGTAGCAACAACTACAACATCATTAGCAGCAACAACAACATCAGTAACAACAACAACAACACCAGTAACAACAATAGCAACAACAATAACATCAGCAAAAATATTACCTCAATTGTTGATGTTAGGAGAATAAATCCTCACAAAATACACTACACGAAAATAACATCAACAACAGCTTTGCCACTTCCAACTTTGAAAATTTTAGCATCAGCAAGATCATTAACACCAACGGCAACAAAAACATCAACAACATCAACAACATCATCAACATTGAAGATAACTACAACAACGTCTGTACCTATGACATCATTTAGCAAAAATTTAAATAAAAATATCATGCATAAACCTTTCTTAAATTTAAAATTGCAAAATAGCTATATCTCATCAACAGCATCAACAGCAACAACATCAATAATAACAACAACAACTACAGTAAAACCGGTTTCTCTGACATCATTGCTGGAAGCATCAACAAAAATACAACAACAACAACACCACAAGAAACCTCATTTAATTAGAGTTAACAACAATTTTATTAAAAACAACAACAACATTATTAACATCAACAACAACAGCAATATCACCAACAATCACATTAATAACAACAACACTAACAACCTCAACAACAACAATAACAACAACAAAATTCATACAAACATGGTCAACTGCAACAAAGCCTCGGACAGCATTTTAAATCGAAACAGCAAAAGCGTTAGAAATTTAAAGGATATTAGTAATAATAACAATAGTTCAAAAACTAATAATAATAATAATAAATATAACTATAATGATAATAATAATAATAATAATCTTAATTGTAATTGCTCCAGTAACTGCAATGATAATGTTAAAAACAAGAGAAGAAATTGTGATCATTACAGTAAACATTACAGTTATAACAGTAATAGTAATAATACTAATAATAACGACAACAACAATAATAATAATAACAACAATAGTAATAATAATAACAACAATAGTAATAATAATATCAACAAAAATAAAATTCTAAAGAGTAGAAACAAATTGCCAATTTGTCACAAGAGAAAGAGGCAATCCAATGTGGAACATTTCCCCGATGATGATGATGATGATGATGATTATACTAATAATAATGATAACAATAATAATAACAATAACAATAATAATAACAATAATAATTTTGATAATAATGATGATGAAGATGTTGAAATAAAAAATGGACAAAAGAGAAGTAATGATGATGATGACCAACACGAACCACATTACATTTATATTACTCCAAAATATGATGATGATGATAGAAAAGAGGATGACGATAATATCTGGGAAGATGATGATAATGATGATGATGGTAGCTCCAATTTCAAAATCAATTCAACCGGTTGGTTGGTTTTCAATCATTATTTTGATTATTATTATTATTATTATTATTATTATTATTATTATTATTATTATTATGGTCAAAGTTCAAAGATCAAGATCACTTCCTCTTGTTTTATTTCTTATTATTATTATTATAAATATTAAGCTTATAATTTAAATGATTATTATTATTATCAGTAGTAGTAGTAGTAGTAGTAGTAGTAGTAGTAGTAGTAGTAGTAGTATTGTTGTTGTTGTCATTGAAATTTGCTTATTATTTCTCCAAATCAGATGATGACAGCAGTGGAAATGATGATGATGATGATGGTGGTGGCGGTGGTGGTGGTGAGGATGATTACTGCTGGGCTTACAAGTTTTTTAGAAACAATTTTCATTGGAAATATAATAATAACAATATTAATAATAGTAATAATTATAATAACAGTAATATGAATAATAATAACAATCACAATAATAATAATAATGATACTATCAACAACTGCAATAACATCTACAACTTTAATAAAAACATTCGTCCTGACAACAACAACCACAATAACAACAACAACAACAATAATAATAACAACAATATTGTGAATAATAATAACTATAATAATGTCACAACCTCAAGAAAAGATCACCTGGATCGTATAAAAGTGAATCTAAAGAGGAAGCTTGAGGGCCTGGAGCACGGGTATAAATATCGAACCACCGTAGATTATAATGTCATGAAGAGGATCAAAAACTTGGATGACGTCATCAACTATTTCAGAGCCGATAATAAAATAAATTTTGCTACTACTACTACTACCACTACTGCTAATGAAAATAATAATAATAATAATACTGAAGGTGATGATGATGATATGGCACATCTGCCTACATTTCTAAAGTTTGAATTTTTTTCGCACCATAATAAAAAATTAATTTTGATTTATTTATAAATAGTTTTTTTTAATTCAAATTTTCAATTAATTTCAAATAAATAAATTAAATTAGTTTTTTTTTTTTTGTAGATTTGTTTTGCTGTTCATCATTTTTTTCCATTTCCATTTTTCTTCGTTCAATTATTCATTCATTCATTCATTCATTCATTCATTTCGTTTCTCATCTGTTTATTCATTCACATTTTCATTCACGTATTCTTTCGGTTGTAAACTCATCCTCGATTCCTTCATTCGTGATGTTCCTTATTCTGCAATACTCAACCAATTATATCATTCGTTCAATTTTTTTGTACATTAACTCATTCATTCGTTTCTTCTTCATTTATTTTCATTCATTTCATCTTATTTCATTCCATTTCTTTTGCTCATTCACTCCCATCATCCAATTATTTTAAACCAGGAAATTGGTGATGAAGAAGCGAAGATATCCCAGCCACAACGACAACAATTTCAACAACAACAACTTCAACAACACAAAACGAAGGTGCCTACATATCAATCGTGATACTACTACTACTACTAATAATAATAATAACAATAACAACAACAATAATAATAGTTGCGACGGTGATGATGATGGTGATGATGATGATAGTCATAATAATTGTTGCTGCCAAAATATTCCATTGCCTTACACGAACTATTGCTCCGAACGTTAGTAGCAGCTGATGAGGTTGATGATGATGATAATGGTGATGATAATGATAATGACGGTGACAGGTTATGGTGATGATGACGATGATGGTAGTTGTGCTGGTAATGATGATATAAGATTTTGACTAGCAATAATGGTGATAGTGAAAATAATAATGATGATGACGATGATGACGATAGTGATGATGATGTTGATGATAGTGATGATGATGTTGATGATAGTGATGATGATAACGACAATGGTGATGATGACGGATGATAAGAGGGGTGGTGGTAATGATACTGCTAATTGTAATGATTAGGTACGATGTTGGTGATTGCAATAAAGATGTGGACGAAACTTCAATTTAATAAGCTACTGATGATGATGATGATGATGATGATTAAGTTTGTTATTAAAGATGATTAAATGATTAAAAGGTTTTGTTGTTGATGATGATGGTGATGATGACGATGATGATGACATTGTTGAAAATGGTGTTGATATCATTGATGATACTTGATGAAAATGATTAATCAGTTGTGATGGGATGTTTAATGATAACCAATCAACCTAACCCCCACCACAGATATCACAAATAATTCAGACCTGTCTTCCTACCATGCACTCATCAGTCACATTCAGTCAAACATCAACAACAACAACAACAACAACATCAACAACAACAGCATCAACAACAACATCAACAACAACAACAACAGCAACAACAACATCCACAGCAGTGATAGTATCAACAACAACCATGCACGAAACATTAACAACAGATATCATTACATCAACATTTGCGACATCAACGAGCCAACCAACCTAACCAGCACTACTCTACGCCGAAATCACAACAACATCAACGACAACGACGACAAAATAACCAGCAGCAGCAGCAGCGATAAACACAACAGAATCGTAGCAGTTAAAGCAGTGACGTCATTATCATCAGCTGCCACGGCAGCTGATGTTGCCATGGAAACCGCGGTCAACTCCAAAAAGTTGAAACACGCATGTTGCAATCGCAAAACTTCGAATAAGAAGAAGAAAAATACCAATAGCAACAAAAATAATAATAAAAATATTAATAATAAAAATAACAATATTAATAATAACAGTAATAATGCAAATAATAAAATGAATAGAATTGATAAGAACATCATTTTGGCTAAAAATGTCAAACAGAATAAAAAACGATTCAAAAATAAGCATGACATAAATAAGTTTGTTTATGGCATTCACAACAACAACAACAACATTGGCAACACTAATCACAACAATATAATCGCTGGTAACATCAAGAAATTATCCCGTGACATCACTGATAATGATATTGATGTTGTCAATGATGATAATGATGATGGTGATAATAATTATGGAATCGTACCTGCTGCTGATGTGGATGATGAAATAGGTTTGGTTAATTGTTTTGTTTGTATATACATACATACATACGACAAATCAAAGTGTTAATCCATTTGTTACTTGATGTTTGATGGTTCAGTGTCACTCATCATGTTTTGGTTTTAACACATACATACATACATACATACATACGTACGTGCGTACGTACATACATACATACATACATACATACATACATACATACATACATACATACATACATACATAAATACATACATATTTGATATGCTGGTTGGTGTTATGAGGAATCGTTTCGTATGAGGAATCCATTCATTGGTCAGTTGGATTGTTTGAAGATGATCTGATTGGCTGACCAATCAAACTGTGTTAATCAAGTAGTTTGACTGATTGATTAAGTAGATACAATTTCATGTTAATGGGCGCATTGTTATAGTTTCAATTGATTAAACCGCCTGGAGTTCGTGTTCCACATCAGCATTGCTTCCATCGTTCATCCACCATCCCATCAATCATTCATCTGTCTGTCATAATCTCAGTGAATCACAAATATGTGATTGGTCTGATTTGAACATCCCCAAGCTAATGTCATTATAATTGTAGCATGCGTGTTTATTGTTGACATAAGTAGGTTTTTTTCCCATATTTTTCTACCATATTTTTACCATATTTTTTCAACAATGACAAGCAGCTGACACGTGCCCTTATACAATAAAAAATTTTCAGTTGATGTCACGGCGGACATGCACGAGGAATTTCATGCCGATGAATTGTTGCTGATGTCATTCAACGAGGATGAGAAATATCTCAATAACATCAACAACAACATCAACAATAACGACATAAACTACAGGTTTATAAAAGAGAATGTCGATTTCATATCTTATCCCAAGCTCAACTCATCCAGATCCTCCAAACAAACGTTTCATTACGACTTCAATCAATCACAACAACTCACAACAGCAACAGCTAAAACGTCAACATCAACATTCGCGACAACAGCGACTACATTTTTGGCCACAAGCAACAGCAACATAATTCAGCAACAAGAAATTTTTGGAGAGATAGTTGCTGATGATTTTATAAGAGGTTAACCATCATCTTCTCAATCACTTCCATCATTATCATTATTATTATCATCACCGACATCATCATTCTTATATCTAAAACTAGCAAACCATATATCGTTATAATTGTTGTCAGGTCACCATTGTCTTTATTGTCGCTCCATGTTATTCTCATCGTGGTTGTCGTCATCATCACTTGTCATCTTCATTGCCATCTTTATTGCTATTTAATTATTAATACATCATTTATTATCTTCATCGCTATCATCATTCAACTGTCATTTTCATCATCTTCCTCTTCATCATCACTATCAAAGTCGTCGTCGTCCTCATCACTATCATCATCGTCGTCGTCCTTATCATCATCTTCATCATATTATCATCATCTTTTTATTATCATCATCATCTTTTCATCTTCATCGTCGTCATCATCATCATCCTCATCATCACCATCTTTAGAGATGGACCTGCACTCAGATCTTCCGTACAGTTTTTTCGACACTCACGATGTCCAGGACACACACGAGGTCTTCAGCAACAAAATGTCCATCGAACTCTTTGACGTGCTCCAAACGTGATGACGTCATCAACACTATCATCGTCGTCATAACGCTGATGATGATGATGATGACAAACACGATGATTGTGTGATGACGATTTTGATAACGTTGAATTTAAATACAAACTTAAATACTAGTAGCTTTGTTACAACGGTGATGATGATGATGTCGGTAATGATAAGATTATGATGATAACGACTAGTCATGAGGTTCAGAATTCTTAATTGTATATATTGAATATATATATATATATATATATATATATATATATATATATATATATATATATATGTTGGTAATAGACCATAATTTTTACAATATTCTATAAATTCTACCGAATGTTTGGCGTATATATGTATATATATATATATATATATATATATATATATCTCTATATATATATCTA